ATTTCACTGTTGAGGCTAATTTAGTTGAGGGCTGACAGGTAGATCACTTTATCTCTCTGAGCCCCAGTTTATTTGTAAAACTGGGATGATAATGCCTATAGTATCTACTTTGTAAAGCTATGAGCATTAAATATTATAAGGAATTAGTATAAGTATCAAATGAGTTAGTGTTTCTAAAGCACTCTATAAATGATAGCTATTATTTTTATTTAAGGGGCCATGCATCTAAAAATATAGCTCATTAGCCCCCACCAGTGCACTTACCTTTAATAGTTAGCTAGTAAAGGCAAAGGCATTTACTGAGACAATTATACTAATAAAATATTTTTAAAGCCATAAACAGAATCAGTGAATAGTGGACACACACGCACACACACACACACACACACACACACACACACACACACACACATACACACACGCAAATCAGGGCCCTGGCATCTTTTCTTCTCATTGTATCCTCATTCTACTTCTACTAGGTGTAACCTGTCTGCTAGACAGGTTCTTCCCTGGACTGTTCTTTTCTGTAGTTCAGCTTCACTGCTCTCTGCCAGAGGACACAGTACTCAGAGTTACTAGAGTTCCTGCCTCAATTGCTGAGCCCACTCTTTGCTGGTTGCTGTCTCCTACTGATTGAACAGTTCCTTTTCCCTCCATTGCCCATTTAGGGAGTAACAGAGAGAGAGAAATATTCCCCTTCTCTCTCTCTCTCTCTCTCTCTCTCTCTCTCTCTCTCTCTTTCTCTCTCTCTCTCTCTCTCTCTCCTCTCTCATTTTCATCCCTCCATTCACCTCCCCCATGCCATCTGCAAATGTGAGGAATAATTCTCTCTCAGGAATCGGGTTCTTTTTCCATAGCTGGTTCTTTATTCTGTTGTCAAAGATCGTGTTCCTGGGTTCAAATTTGGCCTCAGATGCTTACTAGCTGTATAACCTTGGGCAAGTCATCTAATTGACATAGTTTTCCATATTGTAAAGTGGGAATAGTAATAGCATCTACTTTCCTGGGTTGTTGTGAGGATTAAATGAGGTATTTATAAAAGTGCTTAGCACAGTGTCTAGCATTGGGTGTATGTTGGGGTGTATGGGGTGTTCAGGGAGTACTAGCACCTTTTGTGTGAGGGCTTTCTGAGTCATTTTTAGGGCTGCTCATCTACCTTTGATGTCCACCTTTCGCCTGTTGCCCCAAGAAGCTGTAGCATGTGTATCAGCCACACCTGGTAAAACCATCTTGGCAGACGAGCCAAACCAGGATGAGGGTAACTGGCAGACCTCAGATCTGTTAGTGAATTAGGGGGATGTCTAACCCAAGCATGTGCAGACTTCCTCCAGCAGACTGCACAGATGAGAACAGTTTGTTCCAATGGCCATGAAGGCTGCCGAAGCAGACTCTGCAGGGTGCTTAGAGCTTGGTCAGACATCAAAGACATCAAAGTCATCCATTGCATCCCAGGCCATTGCCAATTGTCTGGACTTTTGTCCTGCCACTAGACTTCAGTTACTCTGGAAGAGAGAGTGAGGCCGACAACTTCCCTCAACTCTGCCTCACGTAAATACAATTCACAGACAAGACCTCTGCTGCACACAAGTCATTGGTCCTCTTCAAAATGAAGAATGAACAGCAGGTACCTTTGTAAATGCTTAATTACTTCCTTCCTTCACCAATCAATGACTAGTCTCTCTCTACATCAATTCTGATCAGAGAACTTCATATCTTGTAAAGGGATAACAGAGTTAGAAATTATTTTTTACCTTTGGCTTAAGACCTTAACCTCTCTTTGTCACTCTTACCTGTCCCCCAATGCCTATGATTTCACCAACTGGGCTAGAGGGAAGTTAATTGATCAAAGGTATCTTGATCACTACCCTTTACCCCCAACCCATTTAATTTTTAGGATTGCATTTGTCAAATTGGCCAGTGTTTGTAATGACCCTATATTGCTCCTTGAAACAGAGGCCTGTTTTTAAAATATCAATATGTTTCTAGTGACTTTGTATGCCTCCTAGAAATTAAAGTTACAAATTACTAAAAAAGCAGTGGAGAGATGCATCCCCATTGGAGGGAGCATTCAGATCCAAGAAATCCTAGGTCCACTAAAATATCAGCATAGCTTCTCTGTCCTGACATTTGTGGCCACCCCACACAATGGACATGCTGTCTTACCTCAGTTTCAGCTATACCACATGCTCTTGGTTATCTTTCTCTCTAACCACAACTTCTTGACTGACTCTTCATCTTTTCCTTGATCAATCAATGTGACTTTTTCCCCTCAGTGGACTGTCTTGATCCTTCTGCATTTCTCTTGCTAGAGTCTACACCGAGGCCCTCTCATCTACTCTCATGGCTTCAAACACCATATCTACGTAGATGATTCTCTAATCTGCATTTTTAGTCATGACTTCTCTTCTGAACTAAAGGTCTACATCTGCAACTGCTTACAAGCCTTGTCCCACCAACACCTCCAACTGAAAATGTCTAAAACTGAGTTCATTATCTTTCTGCCTGAATCTGTTCTTCCTTCTGACTATTTCCATGGCACCCCTAATAAGCTATAAGCTTTAAGTAATCTTTGATTCTTTCTACAACCTCACTTCTCATATCCAATTGCTTAGTCTAGTTACTGTCCAGCTGAAGACAAAAGTCTTTTTACTAGACTTCCCATGTCCATTTTCTTCCCACTCTAATTCATCTTTCAGATGCACAAATTAAGATATGGAATTCCTTTGTTCAGAAATCCATTTTGAGTAAAGTTCAATTCATCTGCTTGATATTTAAAGGAATCCATAACACGACACCATATTATTTTGTCAGTTTTATCTCATATTACTCCCTTCTGTGAACTCTATGTTTCAGAAAAACGGAAAAATTCCACTTTCTTTCCCCTAAACATACATTTTGCTCTCACTCTTATATGAATATTCTCCTTCCCTCTCTTTGCTGTTCAACAAGTCAATAAGCACTCGTTAATCATTTAACACGTTCCAAGTGCTATGCTAGGCTCCAAGGTACAAATACACAAACAAGGCATTCCCCACCCTCAAGGGTCAGGAGGAGTGAGGGACACAGCATATTCATAGGTAAGTAAAAACAAGATACTATATGTGCGTAACAAATACAAAGTTATTTTGGTGACAGTGGGGGAAACATTAACAACTAGGGAAATATGGAAATATCTCTTCAAGGAAGTGAAATGAGCTAAACCTTGAGGGAACTAAGGATTCCAAGAAGTAAAAGTGAGGGTGGAGAGCATTTTGAGAATGAGGGATAGCCTATGCAAAGTTATGAAGATGGGATGTGGAAGGTTATGTACAAGGAACATTAAGTAGACCAGTTTGGCCATGTCAGAGAATGCAAAAGGAAGAGTAATATCATGAGGGAGAGAGAGAAAGCGGTGTGTACCAGGTTAGGTAAACCAATGCCATTACTTTGATGCTATAGAGACAAGCCAAGATCCCAAGTCCAAGAGCCTTGGGAATAGTTGTGTTCTCTAGACCCTGTTTGTAGCCTTTTCCCTCCCTGCCCCCGTCCAACCATCATTCAGGGGAGTAACTCCTATGGAGAATGAAGCCACCATATTTGCCACAACCCAATTAGACCAACTAGACCCAAGACCCCTTGGAATAGCACCACCCTAGATGACTAGACTTCCTTTTAACTCAACCCCCACAACCATCAATCCAGGAAATCACCCTTTGTAAAGAAGAGACAGGGCAATTCTAGTGAGTTCTATAGCCTCTGCCTCCTCAGTAGTCATAGCTACCAAACAACCCCAAAAGAAAGTTCTTGACATCAGACTTCTAGGGTACTATCAAATGCTTTAACATCAGAAATGGATATGGTTTGTGTCAGTGGAAATGACATTAAAAATGTATTACCACCAGTTTTGTTGGATTATGGAGCCTTTTCAGCTGACTTGCAGATAAAATACACATACACACATATGTGTGTGTATGTGCGTATGTATGTATGTATGTATGTATGTGTTGTCTTTCCTAATTAGACTGTGAGCACCTTAAAAGAGACTCTTTTGCTTTTTTATTTATATCTCCAGCATTTAGTATAGTGCTTTGCAAATAGCAAATACTAAACCAATGCCTTTTCGTTCCTTCATTAATTCCTTCATAAGCCTGGAAAGATAAGCTGGAGCCAGAGAAGGCTGTGTTCTTTTCTAGAGGCAGCAGGGAACCACAGAAGTTCTTGGGAAGAGAAATGGTCATATCTCTTCTTTATTTTTTTAAATTTTATTAATTTATTTTAATTTATCAATAATCACTTCCATATGCTTTTGAGTTTAAAATTTTTCTCTCCCTTCCTCCCCACCACTCTCCCCAAGATGGCACACAATCTGATATAGGCTATATCTTTACATTCCTATTAAACATATTTTCACATTAGTTGTAAGTAAAAATTAAAACCAACAGGAGGAACCATCAGAAAGAGGAAACAAAACTCAACAGAAGAGGAAAAAAAATAGCAATTCAACTTTCATAGTTCTTTCTTTGGATGTGGATAGCATTTTCCATCACGAGGCCTCTGGAGATGTCTTAGATCCTTGTATTGTTGGGAAGGGTTAAGTTTATCAATATTATTAGTCATCGCACAATATGGCTGTTATTGTGTACAACGTTCTCTTGGTTCTGCTCATTTCACTCAGCATCAGATTATACAAGTCTTTCCAGTCACTCCTGTTTGTGACCCTGGATTCCTTCTCAGTTCTTCATTCTCACTCTCCTCTAGGTCCCATCAGTAGTAGAATCATGATTCTACCTCCTCAACATTCTTCCCTCAACTCACACCACAACCAGCCCAGTTCTAGCCTCCATTACCTGTTACCTAGACTATTTCAATAGCTTCCCAATTGGTTTCCTTCCTAGTCTCTACCCTCTCTAACCCACACTCCACAAAGCTGTCAAATGTGTCATGCTAAAGAAGAGGTATGTAAGAAATGATGAACAGGCTGACTTCAGAAAAACCTGAGAAGACTTGTATGGTCTGATGCTGAGTGAAATGAGCAGAACCAAGAGAACGTTGTACACAATAACAGCCACGTTGTGCAATGACTAATATTGATAACGTACTTAGCATGTAATATTATGAATCATAGCTATCTGTCTGTTGTTTTAGCTCTCTGTGAGACTGTAAGCTCCTTGAGCACAGGCATCATCTCTTTTCTAATCTTTCTATCTCCCCCCATTGCCTAGCACAGTGCTCTGAATATAGTATACACTAACTAAATATTTCTTGTTGCTTTTTCTTCCAGTGATCCTAGGTCTATCCTTTGGGGCCAGATAGAAAAATTGCAATTCTCCTTCTACCCGATAGTCCTCCAAGCACTTGACTATGGTTAAATTCTTGAGTTTCCTCTGTTCCAAGCTAAATATCCACAGTTCCTTTAATTTGACCCTTGTTTGGTGAGGTTTTCAGTCACCCAGCATCCTGATCACACTTCCCTGGAGGAATTGCTGCTTTCGGGTTATCCCCTAGTTTGATGGTAATTGTTTCATCTCTGGATCCTTTAAGCAGGATAAAGGACATCTGGATCACCTGCATCGTCTGTTCTCATTTGCCTGTACAAAAATACCAAAGCAATAACAGCAGCAATAACAACAAAAATGCCAACAATTTGTAAAATTTGTGCCTGGATAAATAACCCTTATTATAGTTACAATCTCTAAAAAACCCCCCAACAACAATAAGCGACTTGTGCTTTTTGAATTTGGTTCAAGTCTTCAGTGGAAAAATATACACCAGGCATCGTACTTGGAGAACCACCATTCTAATGAAGTCACATAGTGCTTCCATTTGTCTAATCTCATTTGAGGCTGCACTAATAGAAGTCTGGTGCCCAGAATGAGGGCGGTTAAAGGACCAGTGTATTCTGCACTGGCCAAATAAGCTTTAGAGTGTTATATTCAGTTCGAATCATAGAAGCATAGAAACCCAGAGTTGGAAGGGTCCCCGGAATTATTTAAAAAATGGAAGTTGGTCTATTTATACCTCAAGGACCAAGAAGGGCTGTTTAATAGCAGTAATAAATATACATGCTTTTTGTAGAGTGCTTAATAACTTAGAAAAGTCTTTCATGTATATGATCTCATTATTATAACTTATTATATGTGAACTCATTAGCATAACTACCTTGTGAGATAGGCAGAACAAGCATTACTATCCCAATTTTCAGATGAGGAATATGAGTCTCAGTTTCCTTACCTCATTATTATTTGAGTGACTTTTCCAAAGTCATAGAACTAGTTAGTAGCGATGATGAGATGAGAATACAAATGTTCTGCCTCTGAGTACAATGTTCTGTCCCTAATACTTAATATCAAATAGAATCCTGTGTGCTGTTATATTTTGTTAAACCAAAGATGAGACTGTTTCAAAGGTATGGTCTTGGTGGTTTTGCTAAATGGATTTGAATTTTCAAAATTACTCTGTCGGTATGCATTAACACTGGGCACAGGTGCAGAAATAAAATATCGCAAGTTGAAATAAAATGGAGATGCTGTTTGAGAAGAGAAAGATACAGTGCTCACTTTTCATTATGAAACTAAGTGGTCATGAGAGTTGGGCTCCAAGTCAGAATGCCTTATTCTATTTCCCATTTATTGACTTTTTGACCTTGACTTTCTCACTTTGTACTGTGCCTGGGTTTCTTCAACTGAGGACTGGATTAATATTTACCTGTTGTGTACAGGTGTGAAGAATCAAACATAAACACAAGATCATAAGACTGCAAACTCCTTGAAGCAGGGAATATTTGATTCTTATATTTGCACCCCACCCCCAGTGTCTAGCATGGTACCTTGCACATAGCAGTCACTTAAGAAATGATAATGATAATTGAATGAATGAATGAGTGAGTGAATGAATGAATGAATGAACACTAGCCTCCTATTCCTAAATGTTTGCTTTACCACCTGGGGTTGGGGCAAAGGGTAGATGAAGGGGCAGGTAAGAGCAAGGATATCTATGTGTACAATTTTATTTCAAAGGGGTCTAATGTTTCCTCTGATTTTTCTAAGGATCATTGGAAGATACAGAAGAAGTAAAAAGGGTTGGCATCTGTCTTAAGGGAGGCTTTTTGCCTAAGCACAAACCTCTCTGGTAAAGCATATTCCATGATGTTGTGAAGCTGAAGATTCTGTGGAGGCTAAGTGATTTCTTGGCATCCAAAATCAATCTCTCTCATGTCAACCCTACCAAAAAAAAAATAAAAACTTTCACCTTGCTTAGTGCCAGTAACAGCCAAGTTGACTTCAGCTATCAGAGAAAAAAGCTTTTAAAATAATTACTCCTAAATTACAATAATATTAATGATTAGCTTTGTGTGAAAATTGAAGAGATAAGTAGTTAAATACTAGGAATAATGAAGCACAAAAGTGTCATGGGGTAATAAGTTTGCTTTTAGAAACGATCATTTTTCAATGGTTATGTTCATGGTGAATCTTCTAGAATAAAACATTCTTCGTTTCAGTAATACTTTTTCCTATCACATCTTTAGTTGCACACATTAGCCCTTAAATACCTGCAAAACAACACTTTGTGAAATCTTCATTAGGACATGCCTGAGACAAGGCTGAGTATTGAACAGTAGAAGCCCATTATTATTACCCAGATCTGGGTATACTGCCTGTCAAGTTGTATCCTCTGAAACAAGAGACCGACATACGGTAAAAGCCTGGTTTGTATGCATTGGAGAGGGAGGCTAAATGGAGTGGGAAGAAAAATGAGACTCTTAACCTAATGAAAAGTATAAATAGATCTGAAAATTACTTAGCGTGGACCTTCTAAAATATAACTTTATCAAAATGGGTTATCTCCTCCAATTACTTCCTGAGCCCTGGGCACAGACTTTGCCTGTAACACTAGAGGAAAGCACTGACAGGGGCTGAAAGCTCCCCTCCATAAGCATCATTTTCTACTAGCAAGATTCTTCATTGCCCATGAAGGCAGTGGATGACTCTCTGGTTAAATCTGTCTAATTTGTAATTAAGGCAATGGCAAGTGAATCATTTTTGGACACTTTTTTCCCCCCGTGGAGGCTCAGGATTTGAACATTAAGGCTTATTTCTATTTAATTCAACCCAGGAACTATTAGGTACCCAATAATAATACTGTCTATTTCTATAATACTTTAAGGTTTGTGAAATGTCTTACATCTATGACTTCATTTGATCCTCACGACTCTTTGAGGTAGGCACTATTATCGTCCCCAACGTACAGAGGAGAAAACCAAGTTTTAGTCACATTCACATATGCTATTGGCTGGATTTAAACTTCAATCTTCCTGATATCAAGTCCAGTACTCTGTCCACTCTACCACCCTGCCTACTGGGTGCCTACCACATGAAATGGTTAGAAGGGGAAGCAGAGAATCCTAAACCCCAAAATCCTGTGAAAGAAAAATCCTAGGGTAAAATGTAGCTCTTGCAGATTTAATTTGATTTAAACAAAAGCTTAGTCAATTGTTGTACTATGCCTTAAAAAACAGAACCTGTGCCTTATTTCTTTAAGAAATCTCCAAGAGCAGAGTTTTGTGGGGGCAATAGAAAGATTATGCTTCTAGAGTCAGAGGTCCTGGATTCAAATCCTAACTCTGTTATTACCATTGAAATAAATGACCTCTTAGGTCCCTTCCAATATTCAATCTAGGATTTTAAGATAAATATTGCAGTTATCTGGTAATGGTTCACTTGGTCAAATGTGTCTCTTTACTACAGAGCCTAGAAAAGTTGATAATCAATTTCCGTGTTTTAGGATATGGAATCTGGGCCTACACTTAGGAACTAAGCCTTGCTAGCTAATGACTATTTTCATTTCAGAATTACCTATCACAGAGAGGTGGAGAGAGTGACTTAATCTAGCTATTTAGTCTCTCCATCATGTAGCTCTCTGGTTTATTTTTTTTAGTTAAAAAAAAAAGTCATAAAATATTTCTCTGATAAGAACAGGCCAGCTGCCCAACACTTCAGGCCAATCTTTTTACCACCTGGACCCCATGGTCTAACAGCTGATGTCACTGTGAAAGGCAGAGGCCTCACGGATCCCTTGACCAGAAAATAGTGGTTTTTTGTATGGGGGCGGGCAGAGTTGCTCTTTCTTCCTGGGCTACCCACCCTCCTTGACTTCCCCAACCTCCTGTTGGTTGGTAGAAGTGGAGAGATCACAGCTGCTGTCATCATCATCATCATCATCCTCATCATCCCTGAGTGGGCAATGAATCAGGTGGAGCAGAAAGAGGCATTCCACAGATGGTAGCTCAGAAATCAGACCCCCGACCTTAGCCCCACAGAAGAGAGCCAAATAGCAGATCCTGAGGACCCCATGCCTAGAGCGACTTGTTCAGTTATTGTGAAAACTCCACTACCACCCCCTCCCCAACCCACAACGTCCCTCTATTTAAACAAAAGATCTCAGAATTTAGACTGGATCCGAGAAGTGTTGTTTCCTGTGTCCTCCAACCAGAGTTGATATGAGTGAGTGTGTGTGTGTGTGTGTGTGTGTGTGTGTGTGTGTGTGTGTGTGTCTGTGGGTGCGCTCGTGTGAGGTACTGAGGCCCTACAGTGTTTGTGTTTGTGTGTGTAGCACTATCTAGACAGGGATTAGGAAGAAACTCTTTAAGAATTTTCTGATGGCTAATGATGGAAAATCCCAGGATTTAAAAGGGTTTGGAAAAAAAAAAACACTGACTTGTTTTCCAGACAGATGCGAAATCATCTTCTTCTCTATAATTAAAGTCTCAAGCTTTAATGCTGGGGCGGGTAGTGTAGGAAGCATATGCCCTGTAGAGAGCAGGAAGAGAATGTCAGCTATGCTGATCCCTTGGTGGCACTGAGTATTGTTTAAAAGATGAAATCTGATGAGGAATAATTCCTCCTTCCTCTCTCCCCCCCATCTCCTCCACCCCCCTCCAAGCCTTCTTTTCTGATTTTCCATACTTAGAATTTAAAATGCAGTAGTGGAAGGGGCAGCTTGCAGTAAGCTGAGATTAGGGTAGCCAGCCACTTCACAAACATGCATTAGCAGGCACTGGGGGGACCGTGACATTCCTTGCTGTCTTACATATGTTTTAAGGTACAAATTTTGCTTGTACATGGAACACAGTAGCAAGAAAACTCAGCTTTCTCCTCTTCCAGTAAGTCATCTACAACCCTGGGGGACTCCTTTGATCTGTATCTCCTTTTCTTCTTTCTCTGTTTTCTTCCTGGTAACCCTTCTTTGCTCTCAGTGTGCCCCTGACAGTTATGGCACACGGCCCTGCCCAGTGGGTCTGGTCATTTGGCTTGCTTTGTTCTGGCTTTGATTGCTGTCAGGCAGGTTGGTAGTGCCCAGACTCCCCAGGAGTCAAACTTCCCATCCTGACACATTCCACTTAGCCATTGTCCTTTCAAGGCCAGCATCAAGTCCTGGTGGTTTCCTAGGAGGGAATTGTTTGATTTAATACCAACCCAGGAGATATGCTTTGAAGATCCAGTTAACTTTTTTTCTTTAAAAATAGGAACAGGGTTTCCCCTAGCATATTTCTGAGATCCAACTGAGAATGTGGGTGTGGTTGGAAGGAACCATGACCCTATCCAAGGGCCATTAGTCACCCTCTGTGGTTTATGTGATTTTTAAAATTTGTATCTAACAACAAGTTCTTACATGACATTAAGTGTTAGGATGACCCTTCCCTGGTAGATTTTAAGGTCCCACACATTATTGTCTTTGGAACTTTTTTTTTAAAGTAAAAAGAGGTGGATCCTGGGGCTCCATTATAAAGTGAAACTTCAGACTGACAAAAAGCAATACATCATAAAGAATGGTTTAGGAAACAAGAAAGAAAATACATTCTTTTCCCAGTATTCTCCCTGCTAGTACTTGACGTTGAGTGTTACAAGGCTCTGTAGAGCTCTGGTCATTGCACATCAAATCACAGACCTCCAAGTTGAGAGGAATCGCATGAGTTAGAGGTCATCTAGTGAAGTCTAATACATATGTGAGGAGGGATTCCCTTCATAGGATCTGTTAGAAGTGATCAGTTAGCCTCTGCTTAAAGATTTTCAGTGATAGGGGTGATCTATGACTTGAGGCCAATTTCACTGCTGGACAGCTCTAACAGTATTAAATTCCTAATGCTTAAAGCAGGACATCATCAAGCCCAGCCCCCTCATTTTACAGGTGAGGAAATGGGTCACACAGCTTGTAAGTGGTTTTTCCTTATCTCTGCAACTTTTACCCAAGTCCGTCTTCTGAATTCAAGAAGAGCAGGTTGAATCCTTGTTTTACATGAAAATCCTTCAAACACTTAAAGATGACTATCATGTTCCCCCCACCCCAAGCCTTTTTTCCCCCTCCAGGTTGAATATCTCCAATTCCTTCAATTGAATCACATATAGCATGTTTCTGGTCCTTTCATTATGCTCAGTCAGTGAGAGAGTCAACAAGCATTTACTGAGTGCCTTCTATGTACCAGGCACTGTGCTAAGCCCTGGAGATACAAAGAAAGGCAAAAGATAAGTCCTACTCTCAAGGAGCTCATAGTCTGTAAGGCAGACAACATTCAAACAACTAGGTACAAACAAGTTATACACAAGATAAACTGGAGATAATAGTGGAAAGGCACTAGCATTAAGGAGGATTGGGAAAGGCTTTCTGGACCTCTTTAACAACTGGAAAAGGCCAAAAACTAACTTAAGGCATCAAGAGCCTTGTCTACAAAGAGATGTTTAGTCTGAGAAGATGAGAAATATGGCAGAAATCCACGAAATCACAAAAGGCATAGAAAGGGTGAACATGGACATGTTCACTCAGCCCTAAGATGCTAGAATAAGAGGCCACCCCTGAAACTTTAAGGGGGAACATTTAATATATTAAAGAATATCCTTTTTTACTGAGAAGCTAGCGAACATGTGAAATGGCACTCCAATCTGTGTTAGTGGGGATTATTTCACTCTCTGTATTTGCATCCCCAGAGCACATTGTAAGCACTTAATAAAGGATTATAGATTATACAAGGTGAAAAATATACATAAGTTCAGAAAGATAAACTCAAAGGTGAGAGATCCCTAACCTTTAAAAATGACGGGGGGGGGGGGCCAGAGCCAAGATGGCAGAGCAAAAGCAGTGATTTGCTTGAGCTCTCCCCCAAACCCCTCCAAATACCTATTTAAAAAATGGCTCTAAACAAATTCTAAAGCAGCAGAACCCAAAAAAACACAGAGTGAAAAAAATTCCCAGCCCAAGGCAACCTGCATGGTTGATCCGAAAGGTATATCATAGGGGGTGGAACGCAGTGGAGCGCGGGTTCACAGGCCACAGAGAACCTGGACCAGGCCTCAGAGGACTGAATCGCAGGCAGCTGAGGCAGTTTCCAGACTTCTCAACCCACAAATGCCAAGGACAACTTAGAAGGTCTGTGGGAAAAGCCTGTTTCTGCAGTGCTGAGAGAGAAGCGAGGTGGTCTCACCTCCATTCCCCTAGCAGCTTGGGGCGGGGGCTGCCTCCTGAACTTCCAGGCCACAGACTGAGGGGGAATAGAGTGGCTGATCAGAGAGGGATTTCAGGGACCTCTTTGCCAGTGCTGAGGCAGGAATCTCTTGCTGCGCCTGTGCTTGGATCTGGGTCACAGTTCTGGGCTGCAGTCCTGAGGCAAGTAGGAGGAGCACTGGCATGGTGGATCTTGTAGTGGCTGTGGACAGGAAACCCTCCTCACAGTTCCAGGACAGATGTGGTCACTAATAGACCAGAGCACAGGCCAGGAAAGTAGTAAACACCTCACCCCTTGTCATACCACCTTGGAAGAGCTGAAAATTTACAGGTCCTTACAAGTATCTCTGAAAACAGCTGTACAAACCCCCAAAGCTTGGGACAGTACATTCTCCCCATTGGAAGCAGACTCTTACCTTAACACAGAGTTTAAAACTCAAGTAATTGGCCGAGATCATGAGCAAGGAGTGCAAAAAGAGTCAGACTATGTTATCTTACTTTGGTGACAAAGAAGATCAAAGCATACAACCAGAAGACAACAAAGTTAAAGCTCCTACATCCAAAGCCCTCAAGAAAAATATGAATCCGTTCCAGGCCTTGGAAGAGCTCAAGAGGAATTTTGAGAAGTAAGTAAGAGAAGTAGAGGAAAAACTGGGAAGAGAAATGAGAGTGATGCAAGAAAATCATGAAAAAAAGTCAACAGCTTGCTAAAGGAGACTCAAAAAAATACTGAAGAAAATAGCACCTTAAAAAAATAGCCTAACCCAAATGGCAAAAGAGGTCCAAAAAGCCAATGAGGAGAAGAATGCCCTAAAAAGCAAAATTGGCCAAATGGAAAAGGAAGTCCAAAAGATTACTGAAAATGACAGACATCATGAAGAGAAATTGCTACAACATGCTTCAAGACCTCTGTTGTGCCCCTATCAGAGAGCAAAAATTAGCATGGATGGGACATGATGGAAAAATGGCATATCTACTATCTTATTCAAATATCAAATTCTTGTATTTTCTTTTAAGAAAATAAAGCCTTATACAAAAGGATTTATATCAGTATCATATATAATTTTCCTAAAATTTTTTGCTTCTTTTTTTTTATGTGGGAAAATGATAGGATTGACCCAAGGTAACTCAATGGGTTAATTGCTGAACAGATGTAGAGCCCAAGGACATTAAGGGTTTTCATTCTCCCAGTTAAGTGTTCTTTATATACCAACTGCCTAATATAGAACAGATGCTTAAAATATGTCTAGGGAATTTTATTTCTGTGGACCATTCTGGATAACTCCCATTTACGTGTGTTTGTATTGAAATGGACTCGAATTTATGGAAAGGAGTGCGCTTGATGGAGTAAGCTTGGACTTGGAGTCAGAAAATATTAGTCTAAGTTCTATTTATGTTGCTTAGTATGTCATTTAGCTTTTCTGAGCCTCAGTTTCTTTATCTGTAAACTGGGAATTATTATCATAAAGGACCATAGTTTTAGAGTTAGAAAGGACCTTAGAGGCAATTTCATTTAACCATTTTATTCTGTTGATGAGAAAACCAAGGTCAGAAAAACAAAGTAAGTCGTCCATAGTCACAAAAGTGCTAAGTAACAGACCCAGAATTCAGGCTCTCAGGTTCCAAAACTAGAGTGCTTCCTACTGTTTCATACTGTTGACTCCACGACATTGTTGGAGAGATCAAATGGGAAAATGTAGGTAAAAGTGTTTTGCAAGTTATAAAGTATTATACAAAATTAAGTTATTATGTATACATGTGGATATAGAGATAGTCCTGGTATCAGAGACTCCTTTTTCCACCAGGGCCTTAGGACACTTAGTATCTCTCACTTCTCTGTCTTATTGCTACCACCCAGGTGGCACTTGGAAACAAAGTCTGGCCATGAACTCTCCTTACAAGCACTCAGACCCAAAAGGCTTAAAATATAACAGTATTATTTACACATTAATGAATACAGAAAGATTTAGATCAAAGCCCCTGGACAGGACCACATGGGGCTATCCTTCTCTCCACAGACTATACACATAGGACAAGCTTGGGTGCGGCTCAGGAAGGGAGGGAGGCCAGGCTTTACTCCTTCTAGGTGTACTCTGTTCTTTGCCTCATGGTGAGTCAGTCTCACTTACCTCCTCCTTCTCCCAGAACCCTTGAGAAGCCTGACTCCATGACTCCTCGTCATGTAGCTCAGCTCCCAGAACCACTAACTTCACCTTCTGTATCTCAGTTCCCAAATCCACTCTAGTCCTGTTTCACATAGTTCACTTCTTTTCGTTAGATTCCATAGTTTGTCATTCTCCAGCACATAATGGCCCCTTTTCATAGGGGATCCAGTCTCTAGCAGCTGGCTGTCTCAAGAGTCTACTTTGGAGACTTTAGTCTCACCCACAGATCTTTACAATTCAAAACCACACCCCTAGTAACTTCATTCTTTTAAAACCTTTTGTTGTAGGTCCAGGGCCCTGGAATACAAAGCATCTCTCTGGTGGCTATGGTAATTACCTGCTTCTTAGACTGCTTGAACAAGTATCTGCTTTCTAATCTTGGCTGGCTCAAGATGACCAGTCCCTAAAGGACTAGCACCTCACTGATTCTAGGGTTTTGGAGAGGCACACCTGCTCTCTTTTTCTGTTTTTTTTTTCTCCTATGTTCCTCTGGGGGCACTTATACAGGGTTATTCAAATTACCTTTGTTATTTTGCCAAAGATCTCTGAAAGGGAGGGAGTATGGATAGAGCCACTTTCAATGGTTCTTATCCTTGGGAAGGGAACAAACATTTATCTTAGTCACTCATTTAGGTTAGTGCTTATATTAGATGGCTAATGTTTGTGCTCAGGGTAAGCAAGTCACTTCACCTATATCTGCCTCAGTTTCCTCAACTGCAAATGGGTATAAAATACCTGGCACATACTAGATGCTTAATAAATGTTGGTTCCCTTCCCAAGGATAAGAATCATTGAAAGTGGCTCTATCCATACTCCCTCCCTTTCAGAGATCTTTGGCAAAATAACAAAGGTCTCCTTAACTCCAGGCCCAATTTTCTATCTACTGTGCCACCTAGCTGTCTCAGGAAGAGGGAAGAGATTTTGATATCTACAGGTATGTGCACATGTTTTGGTTAAAGAGTAAAATGTGATTAATGTTGATATTAACCAACTAATGTTAGCCATGTTCACTTGACTTTATATTATCTATAAAATGGCAAATCAGAATTTGGATGTTTAGCCACCTCTCAGTGGTGTGGTTAACATTAAGATCATCTGCATCATGGTATGAATAGATTTCCCATGTACCACCCACCCCCCGCTATTTTGGGTCTTACTTATTTAAGTTGGTGCCTACATTAGATGGCTAATATTTTGTGCTGTGGCCATAGCATATGTGTGTATAATTACAATGAATGCTCAAGTTCAAATATATGCTCATCACACATCTAACACACACTTATTTAAACTTGTTGCTACCAAATGTCATGAGTGTCTAAAATCAAATGAGAATTGCTCCCACAAATAGCCTGTAAGCCAGGTGGTGGCAATCTTGTGGAGGGAGGCTTCAGGGTCTCCTCCTGCAGGGTACTTGAAAGTTGGCAGTTCATTTGTCTGAGCACATTGGAGAGCTGCAGCTGCAGAAGTACCATTCTTCCCCTCCTGCACCAGCTAATTGCTGCTTCCTGTCTGAAGAGCCCAACACAATAGAGGGAGAATTCCTCCTTGTTTGCTCCAGCCTGTGTTTGGCAGTCTTCATGCCCCTTTCATCAAAAAAGGAGTGGGGGAAAGCAGAAACCTTCGCCGCTGTCCCAGCTGCATGTCATAGCGGAGGCCAATAGCATGTCATGTGTCTTTTGCTGTAAGTGTAACTGAAACAGGTTATCTTGGGGACAGGCACAGGCAGCACTTTCACTGTAAAATGTCGTGCCTGTGACCGTAAATAGAACTGGTTCCTTTTTCATATTGCATGCTTAAAAAAAAAAAGATGATCTGGAAACCTCTGACTCGTAGATATTCTCAGTTCTTTTGTTTTTAGTAATGTAGCTGTGTGGGGTTCATGAAGTGCTTTACAGTTTTCAGTGTGGTTTCCTTGCAATGCCACTGCCACATGGAGAGATCATTCATCATTCATCCCATTTTAGAGATGAGGACAGTGTAGCTTGGATAGTTCTTGTGATTTGCCTAGGGTCACAGGGATAGTAGGTGGAAGGAAGGAAACAAGCATTTATTAAGTGCCTGCTATGTGCCAGGAACTGTGCTAAGCATTTTCAGAAATATTATCTCATTTGATCTTCACAACAACCCTGAGAGGCAGGTGTTATTATTATTATCCCCATTTTAAAGCTGAGGACACTAAGGCAGGCAGAGGTTAAGTGACTCACCCCAAGTTACTCTCTGGTAATTGTCTGAGGCCAAATTTGGACTTGGGTCTTCCTATCTACTGCATCACATAGCTGCCTCTAGGTGGAGCATCAGAATTTGAACCCAGCTCTTGTGACTCAAGTCCAGGGTTTCTTCGCTTGTCTTCTCTTTTCTCCTCCTCCTCCTCCTCTTCTTCCTCCTCCTTCATCTCTCTATGTCTGTCTGTCTCATTTGTCTCGGGGACGAGCAGACCTGTGATTTCATTGATAATAGGGAATTCCTGGTGAGGAACACTTTCCCTACCAATGCAGGTTGGCAACTATTCTGCAAATTATAGCTTTACATCACTGCCTGAGGACATTGAGAGGTCAGTGACTCCTGTGCCTTTTCCATTACACCATTTTCTTAAAATTTTAAAGAAGAAAAAAAGATCATGACAGTCATTTCCTGACTTCACACCCTTCAAATTACTAAAAAAAAATAATGTTTATGGGGTGTTGAGTTGCATCAAAAACAGATCTTCCAAGGGCTGTATAATGGCTGAAACACCCACAGAGACAGCTAATGGCATCTTCTCACCCATAATAGATGTCAATTAAAATTTTTTCCTTTGGTGAGTTCTGTGTTTATGAACAGAGGTCCAACCTCCATCCTATGCATCCCCGTTTTGGCTGTACTGCTGCTGGGCAGAGGGTTCTTATACTGGGGTGATGTGCTCTCTCAAGGTTTTAGGTCTGGGCTTTCTGTCACCTTCTCCTCTGTCTTGGTCCTTCAAAATTCTTTTTGCCAACCTCTCCGAAGAAGACAAGTTTCCATGAGTATTAATTGGTAAATTAATTAGTCTCATTAACTAATGAGGCCTTTATGGCTGATGGGAAAGAAAGAACACAAATAAACTTGAGGGGAGTTATGGAGAAATCCCAGATGCATGTGGGTTATCAATCAAGTAATCAACAAGCGTTTATTAAGCAGCTACTGCATGCCAGGCTCTGAGATAGGCACTGTGGATACAAAGAAATGAAACAACTCCTGCCCTCAAGGAGCTTACATTCTATTACGGGATATTAGAGGTAGAAGGGACCTCAGAGGTCATTGAGAAGTCATCCAATTTGACTCCCACCCACACCCTACAGAGGAGAAAAGTGAGATTCTGAGAGTCTAATAGACCTGTTCAAGGTCACTCAGGCAGTGTCAACAGTAGGACTCAAACCCAGGTTACCTTAACTTCAAGACCAGTAAACTATCCTTTGTAACATGGTGCCTCTCTGACTATTCCCTTTTTCCTCATTTCCGTATCTAACATTTCCATTAATTGCTCAACTTAGATCTGAACTGTCTTTGACCTAAAACTTGACCTTTACAGTATGCTTACCTCTTGGTGACAGTGGATATGTACAAAATAGAGAAACCACAAGCTACTTCCTCCTTTAGAGGCAACATTCACTGCACAGACAGCCTATAATTGTTCACCATTGAGTGTGGTTGACTAATCACATGGACGGCTGAAACTCCCCTTGTAAATGAAGCACTGTTCCCTCATTCCAAGTTACAGAAAGACCCAGCAGAAAAATCTTAATGGACACATACATTAAAATTAATGTAGAAAATGACAATACCCCTAGAACTAAGTATTACAAGGCTTCCTATGAGCATGACACTTTCTCTATTTTTGAAGCTTACAGACCATACCATAAAGGATGTTGCACCTTTTTGATCTCAGAGGGATCCACCTTCACATCAAATAGTCTGTTTAGTTTTGTGAGACCTGAAATCGGGACCTTTCTAATACCTCTTCCTGTAAGAAAATCCCTTCAAACACTATCTTTGATAAATTTGAACTAGGGAGACCTCCCAAACTTTTAACTGTATTTGCTTCCAACCTAATGAGCTCTTTGCAGCATCAAAGTAAACTGGCATAAAGGAAATGTAGATATATAATCAATGCTGTGACCTCTTTCCCAACATGAAACACTGCTTGTATTTTTAATATGTGTTCTGATTTGGGGAGTCAGCATTTAGAATTCACTTCTTAAGCCAAGTTTTAGTCTTTTCCTCTTTAAGCAAGCAGGTGGTGAAGAGAACTGACTCATAAAGAAGTTAGGAGGGGCGGTGTGTGAGTTTTTGTGTGTGTGTGTGTGTGTGTGTGTGTGTAGGTATAGATTGTACTAGATGGCCTTTGAATTCCCTTCCAGTCCCTCTGAGATTCTGTGGTTCTATGCTCTTTTTTAAGAGAGATGGAATAAGAACTGGAAGGATGCAAATTCTACGGTCTTCACAAGATAGAAATATGAAGTCTAAATGCTGGAAATAGGAATGATAGAACCTACAGGGCAGCTGAAGGAGCTCAGGGATGACACTTCCTTAAGAACAACCTCCCTTAATTTTCTGCCGTTCCTAATGATGGCATCATTTTTATTGATTCAGGAGGGAGGTTGAGTTGCCAGAGCTTTGTTGTACTAATAGCAACAAATTACCTCTTTGTTTTATGTAGTAAATAATGTACGGCTCAATGCAGATTGGGCCAGGGAGATGCGATATTGCTGGTGAATAGTATAATGTGGGGCTGAAAGGGAGGGTAGGAGGATTTGTCTGCAGATTCATGTTTGCAGTTCAGCGGGCTGATGTGGGGCCAAAGTTGAATTTATATTTAGTTGCATTATTTAAAATAAAATCATCTAGCCTTTTAATGAATGGAAGCTTGATGGCTTCTTTGTCTTGATGTTTCTATTATATTTTATGTGCTCTGAGTTTTGCTTTACAAAAAAAAAATGAAATCTCAGGTTATTTCTTTTAAAGTTCTGTATAACAGAGTCCTTGTCCAAATCTCTTACAAAAGTTTTTGTTACCTTAAGTGAAGTTTAAAAAACAGTAATAAACCAGTTAAACAGGAAATGAGTCTTTTCTTAAACAGAGACAAGAGTATTTATACTTAAAAATCTACTAACCTCATTTGAGTATA